CCATATAATACCCAGGGCTCATTACAACACATACCCTCCCCAATGTCCATCACCCAGTTACTCCATCCTTCCAACCCTCCACCCCTCTAGCAACCCTCAGTTTATTTCCTATGATTAAGAGTCTGTTAGGTTTTGTCTCCCTCTCTGGTTTTGTCTTGTTTCATGCTTACATCATTTCTAAGAAAAATGTGACGTAATTCTTGTTTTCCTCTGTAACGAAATTCCCACACTACCCTCCCCCCCACTTCTTCAAATCCCCTCTCTCCCTCATCTGGCTTCTTTCCAGATTTTCTCTTTGTATTTGGTTTTATGCAATTTTAATATCATAGACGTAGGTATTGTTTTTGGTATTTATCTTGCTTGGAGTTCTCTGTACTACTTAGATTTGTGATTTTGTGTCTGTCATTACCTTTGGGAAATTCTCAGCCATTATTACTTGACAGATTTCCTCTGTTCCTTTCTCTTTCATCTCCTTCTGGTATTCACATTTTATACACGTTAAACCTGTTAAAATTGTCCCACAATTCTCAGATATTCTATTCCATTTTTTCATTCTCTTCTTCTCTTTACATTTATATTTTAGAAGTGTCTATTGACATGTCTTAAAACTATGATTTTTTTTTTTCCCTTGGCCATGTCCATTCTACTGATGGGTGAATCAAAGGCATTCATTTTTTTAAAAAAAATTTATTTATTTATTTGAAAGAATGAGAGAGAACACAAGTGAGGGAGGAGGGGCAGAGGGAGAAAGAGAAGCAGACTCCTTGCTGAGCAGGGAGTCCTGTGTGGGGCTTGATCCCAGGAGCCTGAGATCATGAACTAAGCCAAAGGCAGACACTTAACCAACTGAGCCACCCAGGCACCCGCATTCCTCATTTTTGTTATGTGTTGTTGTTTTAGTATTTTCTTTCTTAGAGTTTTCATCTGTCTGCCTACATACTTACTTATTCTTGTATATTGTCAATTTTTCCCAATAAATTCTTAAACGTATTATTCATAGTTATTTTAAATTCCAAGTCTGATAATTCTGAATTTCTGCCAAACTGAGTCAGTTTCTGATGATTTATCTTCTCAGACCATTTTATTTTGCCTTTTGGTATGGTTGGTAATTTATTGTTCAAAGCTAGACATAATGTATTGGGGAAAAGGAACTTCAGTAGATGAGTGGTTAGTTTCAGGTCTTATGTTTATCTGGCAAGGAATTAGACTGTGTTTACTATTTGCTATAGCTCTGCCATCCAAGGCTAAAATCTTGTCTGTTTAGTTTTGTCTCCCTTACTGTCTTTGAGTTTTTCTAGAAACCTTAAATAGGGTGTGAGTCCTACAGTTCTTCTGCACTTCCCTGTTATTTTATAGGAACACTAATGATGTGGTGGTGATGTGGGGAGGTGTGGGAGAAAATGTTCTATACTCCTATCATTAGGTCTTACTCCTTTAGGAGCCCCAACTGGGCATTTCCCTTTCCTCATGTCAGTTAAGCTCTGGTAAAATAGTTTCTTTCATGGGCAGGCCTTATTAAGTAGAACAGAAGGGTTAAGAATATTTCAAAATGGTTACTTTTCCCCTTCAACTCCTGGAAGCAGGAAAGGATTTTTCTCTTGTTTTCACAGGGAGAACCTAGTGGGATTCATGGAAATAAAATTGGGAAACGTTTGGGAGATCTGTCTTTAAGGCTGCACCTCCTATTAATTTTTAATTCTTAAGCTAGTCCATACTGAACCTGAGCAGTTAATCACTTACGGTTTAAGGTGTTCCTTCCACAGTACTGCCTTCAACCTACTACTTTTGCACCTGGGCTTTTGCTTCTTCTAAGCCCCAAGTCTCTGTATCTGCCTGTTTGTTTTTCCAGTTTTCAGGACAGTAGTTTGCTCTTTGACCTCATTTCTCTGATAGACTAAGAGAGTTGTTGATTTTTAGTTCAGTTTTTCTTTTCTTTTTGTGAGGACGGTAGTGACTCCTTCCAAGTTCTTTATATGTTGGACAAGAAACTAGAAGTTTATGTTATTAGAATGAAGATTTTACTTTAAAGCATGCTTTGTCTCTTAAGCCATGTATGAACTTCCCTAGAAACAATGTTTCCGGTGAATATTTGAACACAGATGACATTTAGACAAAAGATTTTTTTTTTATCCCCTTTTGAAATTATCGTTGATTTTTTTAAATGCAGAGTATAATCCCATGTAAGCAGGACAGTGAATCCTTGACGCTTTCTTTCTAAAACTTGATTCAGCAATTAGAAAATATTTTTTTAATCTCTTTTTAAAGATTAAAAAAAAAAACAGACAGTTTTCTCCCTCAAAACATGTAGACAGGATGAATAGTGAGGAGAATTTGTGTACCGTGTATAACTCCCTTCAATGTACCAGATACTCTTCTGTGTGGCTTCAAGGAAGAGTAGGATACCCAAATTATAATGTTCCAAGGCTAGTCAGGTAACAGAAAGATGAATGATACGAAATTCATATATTACATGATCCTATTCAGTCACATCCAGAAGAGCATAAAGATAGGTCACTTCATCCTATCTTGGTAGGGCTGAGATGAGGCATGAAAAGTTGCCTGAAACAGTTGACATGTAATGGGGGCTAAGGAGAAAATTCAAGGTAGCAGAATTGCCGGAGATAGAGGGTTTAGTCTATGCTTGTTTTTCTTCTACAGTCAGGAATTAGAGAGTGAGGTAAATTAGGCAAGTTACGTAGTGTTTCTCCAACTCTACTGATGTATGGTTTTATTATTTGGTATGATATTTTGTGAAGACATTTGCCCAATAATGTATTTTGAAACCAAACATAAGCAGTTTTTGAATCTTCTTCTATTATAATGTACTATGAAAGTTGAGAATTAACTATAATACTGTATTTTGTATTGACTTAAGGTATGAACTGCCAAAATAGTTTAATTTTTTAATTCTCAAATTATATCTCTAAAGTATTTTGCATAGTGGTAAAATTAACTTGGGTTTGAATTAAGTTTGGTTGGTTTTATTATTGCTTTAAATATAAGAATATTTTATGATTTCATAGGTAATAGGAAATTTTCAGAAGTGATAAGCCACTGGTTTTAGCTAATCTCATTTAGTTAGGTCATTTTTCTTCAATTGGCAGGCCATTATATAACTTCATACATATTTTTGTCAGATCCTACATATTTTTAGTGTATTTTTTCAGGTTTACAGTACCACTACTTTCTGGTGATGGTATAATGAACATAATTTTAACTACTACATTAAGATATAGGAATGCTATGTGATTAGTAACTATTAGATTATTGCCTCATTCTAGTGTAGTGTTGTAGCATTTGAAATTATCATTACTAGCCAAGGTAAAGCTATTCTAGCATGCATCCAATACATGCTTTCAAAAATGAATGAATACATATACATAGAAGAAAGAATTTTGGGCTCCTTAAAGAAAGTAGTATAGAGAATCTATTTTAGATGACAGAATACAGCACCAAAGCAATTGACATCTTAATTTTCTAAAAAAAAATCATCTTCTGATTTTGTTTCATAAAATTTGACTTTTAATTATGTTGCTGCTAAAATTACTCTCTGAGATATTATGCATAGATGATTAAAGACAGTTTTGGAGTGAGCAACACTTCTTAAAATGACCATTAAAATCTATTAAATCATTGCTTTCCCTTGGTATCTCTTTCCTCACTTTCTTTGCCTCCTTCACAGATATAATGCATAGCTTTCCAGTTTTGCCATAACAAATTACTATAATTTCAGTGGCTTAAAGCCACACAAATACATTATCTCACAATTCTACAGGTCAGAAGCCCAGTATGATTTTCACCAGACTGAGATCGAGGTATGCATAGGCTATGTTCCTTTTTGGAGACTCTAGGAGAGAATCCATTTATTTCTTATTTGAGTTGTTGGCAGAATTCAGTTCTTTGTAAATACAGGACTGAGGACTTGTTTTCTAACTGGTTGTTGAATGGTTAGCCCACCTTTTAGAGGCTCATTGTCTCCTTCCTCCAGCTTCAAAACCAGGGATGACCATTCAAGGCCATTTCACTTTGTATCCCTTTGTTCTTCTGTGATCTTCTAGTTTTAAAAAATTAAAAGATGAGATTTGGCCAGTTTGGGTAATCCAGGATAATCTCCCCATCTTTGGTCCTTAACCTTAATCATATCTGTATAATTTCTTTTACCATGTAACATAACATATGGATAGGTTTCAGGAGTCAGAATGTGGACGTATTTGGGGAACTATGTTTCTGCCTGCTATAAACAATAATACTAATTGACGCCTAACTTTGTTGGATTAATTTTCCTTTTTTTGTGTAGAATATCTCTGACTTTTTCCTCCTTGATTCAGTGAATACAAACGAGGTATTAGGATTCAGTACAGATAGTACTGTATCAGGTACAATTCCTATATGGAAATCGTAGGGGGAAACAGATTCTAGAAATACTGAAAAAAGAAAATATGGTTTCAGAGTACTGCTTTGAAAAAACAGGAGGTCCTTGTATATTTTTGCAAGTTTATATTATCTGGCCCTAATTTTCAGTATTAAGATTCATAGTTATTAACATAACAGCAAGAAGTAAGCCAGATTCTCCTAATTTAGTATTAAAACATTTCAGTTATAAAATAAATAAGTACTAGGGATATGATGTACAACATGATGACCACAGTTAATACTGCTGTAAGACACATAGTAAAGTTTGGAAAAGAATAAATCCTGAGCGTTCCCAACACAAAAAGAAATTTCTTTCCTTTTTTTTCCTTTTTTCTTTTCTTTCTGTTTTATCTATGTAAGAAGATGGACGTTAGCTGAGTCTGTTGTAATCATCTAATGATATATGCAAATGAAACCATCGTGCTATAATTCCTAAAAATTATACAGTGACGTATGTCGATTATTTCTCAATTCAACTGGGTGGGGCACTCAAAGATAGATACTCATTCAGAGCAATAACAGCCAGTTATGTGAATTTTGATAATGGATGACATTATATCTTTATGTGTTTTTTTATTTCTACCTAGATTATTACGAAGTATGTATATGAGCTCTTGGAAAAGGACTGTAACTTGAAAAAAATCTCAATTCCAGTAAGTGCAGTTTTTAAAAATGATTAAACTTCCAAATGAAATAGTTTTCAATTCAGAAGAAACTGTTTATATGAGTTTAACTGTGGTAAGTTTAAACATTAAGGTCCTAATATGTTGATGTTGATACTGCTAATATTAAATGCCTGGCAGTGTATCTCAGTTCATTTGTGCACAATAATTCTTTAAAACTAATACTCTTCAATGTAGAGGAAAAAAATATTGATAACCAGTTTTTTTTTTTAAATGATGACGCCTTTAAAAAGGACTACCCCCTGCCTCTTCTAATTTAATTGGTATAACTTATTTTTACTTATTTTTTGAAGTAAACCAGTGTACTTGATGTTGCAGTAGACATTCACTGTCTCTTTAATTTCCTGATTTTTATAATTATATATTTTATTTCCATGTTATTTCCTGTACACATTCCCAAATTCATTCCTCATGCTTCCTGTTTTATAACATTGCTCCTTCCCTTTCTTGTAGAACATTCTTTCCAAATTTTGTACATTTTCCCATTTCAGAGTAAAGGTGTTTGAGATATGTTCTCAGTCTTAAATTCACACAAAAAAATTTTTAATGTAAAACATGATACAATAAAAAAAATGAAGAAACAGTAATGTTATATATGAAACAGTGGTGGTGTTAGATTAGATGATCCTTGCTGTTCCTGATAACTGAGTGTATGATATATAAAAATCTGGAAGGCTTTTATGAAAGTAATGAATTTAAGGTACAAAACTTTGCATATAAGTACTTTGTCTACATGATATTTTGCATGAGATTTTTAAATTCCTTGGGTAATATTCTACTATGAATTGGAGGGTTTGAGGATTTTTAAATAATAATTATCCTCACAAATTAATTCCAAAGTTCAGTATTTAAAAGGAAAATATATTTTATGTTTAATTTTATATAAATAAGCTCAAATGCTAGGCCACATTGTTAATCATCTATTCATTTATTCAGCAAAAATTTGCTTAAGAGTCTTTTAGGTGCCAGGCGCTGTTTCAGGTGCTGGTGTGTACTAGTGAATAAAATACTATTCTGTGCAATAGCTAGGCTAGCCCTCCTTTATTTGGAAACTTTTCTTCCTTTTGTTCAATCTTTCTTGTTAATTTTCTTTCTTTCAGTTTCTGAAGAATAATATTTAAGGAGACTTAGCTTGATTTATTGTTACAACACAGTTGAGACTGAGCCATTTAACTGATTAATACTTGTAGTTACATGGAACTTTTAAACTCATTGCCAGAAGAAATCAGAAGATAATTGGCTGTATGGATTATGTTAAATGATTAAGTTTCACTAATTTTCTTTATAGAAAGCTTGACGTTAGGGTTAGGAGGACTTCGTTTTATAGATCTGATTACTTTCCTCTGGTTTAAACTGAGACTGTAAAGCTAATAAGCATAGAGAAAACTTTGCATTATATGAGACCAATAGTGTCATGTCCATTTATGGTTAGTAAACATTTCCTGATTTTATAAACTGAAAAGAAACCAAAATTTGTTTTGTTTTAGGAAATTAATGTCTCTCTGTATGTTATCATCATATATTTTATATTACTATGAAATTTTTTTTCTATAACTATTCATTTTCTCCTGAGTTCTCTTAAATCCCAAAGCTAGCAGTGAAGGTGGTTTTTTATTTTGCCTTGTTTTGTATCACAGTTGTTCTTTTTATTATAGGAATACCTCAAAGTGGTTTGTTTTGTTTTGTTTTTTTTCCTGATGAAGAGCTAAGTTTTAGTTTTATGGTTGAACTGTTAATAAGGAAAGAAAGACTTCTTTCCTTTCTTTCCTTTTTGCAAATAACAGCACCTGATGGAAACCCATGATTTGATGGTAAAGATCATTATCATGTATATCTCATGTTTACTCCCTACCTTACATATATTCTCATGTACAGATTATTTTCAACTCTAATATCTTATACTTGTGTAGAACTTCAGATTACATAAATTAATTTAATAACTTGATTATAAATTTTCATTCATTTTTTCAGCCATGTTTAAATGATCATCACAATTAGTGGGGTTCATGGGTATCCTGAAGTGAATTGTTAACTGCTAAAAATTGTTCTCACTTATCAGTTGGTCTTTGAAGTTGATTGGTTAATAAAGTTAGATGGTGCACTAGGATGACTTTTATATGCATTCCTTAATGAAAGCTCAGTTTAATGAATTAGTGCTGTTTGAAGACAGTGGCCTTGGAACAGCCATTTTCAAACTTAATTAAGCTAATGCCGAAAATTATGTTTTATTCATGTAGATATTTTAGTATTTAAACTTACTACTAACTTTTTACAAAGTAAGTTATAGATACCAACCTCAGAGTTCTGTGTTAAATTGAGATGAATATAAGCCAATGACCATCCTAAATACTGCCCTTACACCTTAATCATTAATAACTACATTTTTCATTTTCATTGTTTTTTTTCCTTGAATATTCTGATGATCTCATGTTTTTAAAGTCAGTTCTTCTATAAAACTTTTATTCATTTATTCATGGCTACCTTAATTTGCAGCCCTTAAATATTTTTGAACAGCATTTTAATATAAAAAACACATTTCATCTTCTGAAAATAAGCATTCTTCCAGTTTTAAAATGATTACTGTGGAATTGAAGTGCCAACATTCTTCTGCTTAAAAAATTGACTCAGTTCCCTGGTAACAGGGGACTTAGTCAAATAGAGAAAAGAAATAGTGAACAGCACCTACTGCAAAGTCTACAGCTATAGGGTTTGTTTTTTTTTTTAATTAAGATAAACAGATGTCCATTTCCATAGCCATTCTAAGATCCATTAAGGCCTCAATGATTTTAAGACGTACTTTTATTTGTGCACATTTAGACGTACTCTTTGGTAAATGAATGACTGGAAGACTTTGTGGCCCCTTTTTCATTATACATTGACAACTTTGTTTTTGAATTTTTCTTTTGTTGTTACCACTTTTGTTTTTTGTTTTTTTGTTTTTTGCTTTTTAAAGATTTTATTTATTTATTTGACAGAGAGAAATCACAAGTAGACAGAGAGGCAGGCAGAGAGAGAGAGAGAGGGAAGCAGGCTCCCTGCTGAGCAGAGAGCCCGATGAGGGGCTCTATCCCAGGACCCCGAGATCATGACCCGAGCTGAAGGCAGTGGCTTAACCCACTGAGCCACCCAGGCGCCCCTCACTTTTGTTTTTTTTTAAAGCCACTTTAACTGAGTGATTCCTCTGTTTTCATATAACATTCATAGGTAAAAGGGAATTTCCCTTCTCAGATTTGGTTTTCCCCATTTCTCAATTACTTCTTTTCCTCTGAGTTCAGTCATGCCTGCTGTTATCATCAAAATTTCCTTACTCTGGACGTCACATGCAAGAGAAGCTAATGTGATTGTTTCACACTTCATACTTCTATTACTGCATACTAATTACTACTAAGATCGGTTATGCCGTTTTAATTTCTAGCATTGTGTAGCTCTTTTAAAATTCTTTATAGTTATATATTATTTTAATCTTCAATATATGCTTTCTGAGCCAGGCAAGTATTGTAACAAGTTAAGAGGACACATTATTTAGTTAAATGCCTTTTATTTAAAGGAGGTCACTGGTGATGCTAGATAACATTCCTTATTATAAAAGTTTATTCATTGCTTTATTTACTGAGTGGCTACAATGTGCCAGCCTCTCTTTTAACCATTGGAATGTCGCTGCATACAAACAGAAAAGTCCATGCCCTCCTGGATTTGCATTCTGGTGGTGAGAGGAGATGGTTAGTAAACAGTTACATAAACATATGTATAAAGTAGAACATACATTAGATTGTATTATGTGCTGCGAAGGAAAATAAAACTTTCTAGAAAAAGAGTCTAGGAAATTCTTGAGGAGACATTTAAATTTAGGGGTAGACAGGGAAGGCTTCCCTGAGGAGGGGATTTTTTTTTTTAAGCCCTATGGCTATGCTCTTCTTGCTGAAATAACTGCCCTTTGTGGTATTTAAACAAATGGCCACCAATCTATTTGTTTTAGAATTAGAGAAATGTTAATTTTTTTCTCTTCCCAGGAATAGTGACGGGGAACATGTAGAATCCAGGACTTTTTTTTTTTTTTTTTTTTTTTTGGGTATCTCGAGTTTTTGTCTATTTTTTAGTTTCATAATTTCATGAATCTATACTCTTAAAGAAGTGAAGAGCTATTTCATTATAAAGTATATGGACTGAACTTCTCTGTTTGAGTCTGTATGTTACCAGCCATCAAGACTTTAGCTTCTGGCTCTGACATGGCTGCACAGAAGCTTCCATTCCCAGTTACTGGCCGCTGCTGATGTGGAATACCATTCGGTGCAGGCCATCAGTCATGTAGACAGGTTAGGAAGTGATCTCTTTGTAAGTCTTTTGAGTCTTTCAAGTCTAAAACATAAAATCACCTGGTTTAAACCTAAACATTAAATACAATCAAAATATGTAAAATATTCATTCCATAAATAAGTACTATATAAAATGTATAAAAATACTCATCCTATAAATATTTAGTACATAAAATAAAGTTAGAGGAATACTTAAATAGTATTCCTTCATAAAATAATTGTTACATGAGCCTGTGTTCACATCCTGAATGAAAGTTCAAAGACCACTTACATAGAATAGGTGATTGCGTTTTTAAATAGTTTCCTCTCCTACCTTTTAAAACCTTAGTAGTAGTCTTTACTAATATATGATTTTCCAACAGGTGTATGCTCCTGTTGGGTTTTTCTGCTTTCTATTATAGATGTAATTTACTTCTGTTATAGAATTATAGACTCATTAGCTGTGTGATCTTTGGCAAGTTATTTAAACTCCCTAAGCCTCAATTTCTTCATGTATAAGTGATGATAATAATAATACCACCACTTTAATGAGATTGTGATTGAGGTAATGTTTTTAGGACATTTAGCATAGTATCTACACTGTAAGGACTCAAAAAATCAGTTATTCTTATTTATATTATAATACTAAATATGCACCAATAATATAAGGAGATATATTTCCAGTATTTTTTTGCCATATTACTATCATGTCTTTGATGCTAATCCATTTCATATGTAGATGTTAATGTCTAATGAATATTTCAGTTTTTTAAAGCTTTTTTACTTCTATAACTCTAGTAGCCATTTATAATTTATGGTAACCATTAGTTGTTTTCTCATTTATGTCTGTGCCTGATCAGAAAACATGTATTTATTATTTAATTTTTTTTAATTACAGGTAGATGCCACTGAGAGTGAACCAAAGAGTTTTATCTTTATGAGTGAGGATGCTTTGACAAATCCACAGAAACTGATGGTTTTAATTCATGGTAGTGGTGTTGTCAGGGCAGGTCAGTGGGCTAGAAGGCTTATTATAAATGAAGATCTGGACAGTGGCACACAGATACCTTTTATTAAGAGAGCTATGGATGTAAGTGCAATTTCTTTTCTATTTTTTTTGGCATTTTATAGCTCTGTTTTATTATGCATTATAAATTATTTTATCCTGTCTCTTCAAAAGTACATTCTAAACATAATTTTATCTTTAAATTGTTTTTTATTTGTAATTCAAGATTATTCATTATTTTACAGTTGGAATGGAAAACTAAATGGTATTTTATTTAGATAATGTTTTTAAAATGAATATTTTTTATTCTAAATTTGTTATCATTTGAAATATCCCTTAATTTATCAAACACTTATCAATATTATTTAAAATACTTACAAAAATATCAAGATTGCTTTTGTAAATCTTTGCATACCTAATTTAGTTAAGTTAGAAATTGAAGGAAATCTACTTGGAATTAATTTCTTATTCTTTAAAAGAAGAGTTTAAAAAAAAGAGTTGGAATGACTCAGTGTTTGTCATTTCTTTAAAAACTCTAGAACTCAGAAATAAACTGCTTTAAGCATTAGACAAAGACCTGTAAAATGGTAAATTGAGATATTTACTGAATTACTTTATTTTTACTTGAATTCTACCTTTCTAGAAACCATTATTTTATGTATGCAAGGTTTTCTTTCCTAGAATAGTAAAATTGGGTTGTTTTTGACCTATAATTGTTACATCTTAATGTTTGGCTACTTTTTTTTTTTAACTGTCTTATTCTTATGTTCTGCAGTGAATAGCCAAATTTTCCAAAGTATAGGTTTATTTCAAATATGAATAGTTTTTTCAGAAAAAAGTGTTGTCTTGTAAAAAAGATTTCATATAAGAACTTAAAGTTATTTAGGGATGTATCTGTGCATGTGTGCTCTATAAGAGCTATATTACATTTTTTTAATTATACTGGGAGAGGAATTACTTGATACATTGATGATTTCAAGTTAAAGATAGGTTTCCTGCTCTTTTACCTCGGAAATTATAAAATCAAGGCCCAGCCCAGCTCTTAAGAGAATATTTTTGTTAATAGTTTTTGAGGCCCTTAAAGTGCTTCAAGTAGAATTTCTTAGGTTAATCGTGTATTTTTTTTTCAGTGTTCATGGATATGTAAAGAACACAACACATTACTTTTGACTGCAAATTTCAACAGTGCAATTTTAATGGAATTTAAGTAAAATTTAGTAGAATTTAAATAAAATAAATTGAAGTTTAGATTGAAGTAACTCACATAAAATATTGTATTATTTAAGCATATGTATTTCTGGCTATGAATAGTGAAATGAACTTTCTCTCTGACACATTAGTTTGTGGTTATAAGAGATGCTGTCATTGATTAAGAACATTATATATGAAATGTGATCACAATTCAGTATATATTTGAAAATACAGTTTAGTAAAGAAAATAGTGTGTTCGTACATATGAGGGCTTGGTGAAATACTGTATGTAATTTTATTGTTCCTGCTACTAGATCAAGTAAGCCTTTCCTGTTCTAGGATATTTTATTATGTAAGATTTTTCAAGGTGAAAGAGTATGGTAAGTCATGCCAAACAACTATGAACAAACTATCTGTTGATATCCCAAACAGAAGGAAGGAAGTTTGTCAGTAACTTTAGACTAGTCAGGCATTTTGTTAGTAGAAGTGTAGTGTTTAGAAACTAACAGCATTTCATTGCTTTGACTCTTTTCTGCTTTTCTCAATAATGGCAACTCATGATTCCTAAAAAAAAAAAAATCAGCTGATTTCCTAGTACTCTAGTATTTAGTGTATTTAGTACTGTGTACTTAAAAGTTTAATTGATACACTTTTTTCTCTTTATAAAAAAAAACAATATGACCTTTATTGTGGTAAATTTCTACATGGTGAATATTTTTAAATGGCTATCCCTTTTTAATCTAGATAAAGTGATTTGTTACTTTGGCTTTACCATTTCATGGTGTTTCTTTGGTGTGTTTATGTGTGGTGGGAGGACACTGGTTGTAAAGGGGTGATATTCTAGGAAGCAGGCAGAGGAAGACTAATTGGAAGGACTAAAGCTATCTCATCCTTACCTTTTAATCAGATTAGCCCTATTTTTATTTTGTGGACTTTGTTCAAAAATTGTATTTAATGAAATGTTTCCAAAATTTAGAAAAGACTGGGAGCATTACCCATTTTTTTGTGATCTGTCAGTTTTTGATATCACAACTGAAGTGAATCTGTTATTTCTCAGGATAGACAATATGATCTCTACTCAGTTTTGTTAATAGTATGTCTGTTGTGGCAGCTGTCCCTTGAGCTCACTCACTCTCACTAATAAACATTCCTGCTTTCACAGCTCAAAAAAAAAAAAATCTGCTATATCTCTTGCAGATTTTTAGGAAAAGATTAAAGGTCCTAATATTGGATTCATAGCATTATAAGGTTAAATTAAAACTTTTTCCCATCAGTGGAACCCTGCCTCTGAGGCGACTATTCTGTAAAAAGTCGGTTTAAATCTATGGAGCTACTTCGGATGAAGCTGGGGTGAGAATTGGAGCAACTTCTACAATGACCCCTGAGATTTCTTCCCCAAACCCTAGGGCTCCATAGCTAACAGTCTGAGAATTAAAGATATTTCAGTCCTTGCATTTTAGATACTTTAGAACTTTATTATAAAAAATGTATTAAGATTTCATGTTGAAGAAATAGTACATATCAGATACATCCCCACAGTACTTCTGAGTGCCATAGCTCATATTTTTAGTGTTTAACAGTCTTCATTGCATAATACATTACTTGGAGTCGGAAACAGTGTATCATATAGCCAAGTACTGATTATTCAGTGTTTGTGCAGTTTGAGAGTTACTCATACGTGTTTCTTCTTTGATCTTTTCTCATGTGTATCTTTTTAGGCATTTCAGTTGGTCTTTGTAAAATGGGCAAGGAAAGAGAAGTCATTACACTACTTAAAATCATTTAATTACTAATTGCAGATGTAGAACAAGGGTGCAGAATTTAAGGAGCTGGTCAGTCTCTCAGGGTCGTGCAATATTTGTAGGATCCTGAGAGTAAGTAGCTCCTTAAATTTTACATCATAGGCAGCTTTCTGATCTCTCCCTGTCCAGGCTTTGACTGACTGAGTTGTACTGTCAAAAAGTTTTATGGAGAGTAGTTTGGGAGCCACTGGTCTATACAGTCAAAATTTTCCATGCATCAGAATCACTTGGAGAGCTTTTTGAAACACAAATTGCCTTGTCCCCAAACCAGATTTTGATGCAGAAGAGTCTGGTTGGAGCCTGAGAATTTATATTTCTAAGACTGTCCCAGGTGATGTTTTGCTCTTAATCTGGATACCGCACTAGAACCTGGTGTAGGTAACATTCTTTGGATTGGCTGAGAGTTTATTTATACTTCTCAGGCTCTAGGTATAATGGCTAAGTTATAACTTGATGGCAATTATATTTAGTATGACAGAAAGTAAGAAGTTCTAGGAAATTCTTTTTTAATTTTTTTTTTTAATTGACAGAGAAAGAGATCACAAGTAGGCAGAGAGGCAGGCAGTGGGGGGGCGGGGGAAGCAGGCTCCCCGCTGAGCAGAGAGCCCAATGTGGGGCTCAATCCCAGGACCCTGAGACCATGACCTGAGCCAAAGGCAGAGGCTTAACCCAGGTGCCCCTAGGAAATGTTTTATAATAAAATCAGTAGAGAAGTAAAGTTTAAGTTATGAAGAATACTTTCAAAATACTAATAAGTGGTTCATACTCAAAATGATAAAATTTATTGATTTTAATAGTTTTGTAAGAAGTCTGGTTACTTCACTAAGCCCACCCATATTTTTACTAAGTTCTCATAGCTGGATTATTTAGAAGAGTCTGATGTTTTCATAATTACTTACCTTGAGTATAGCTTTCATATTGTTATATCTAAGTTTAAAGAAATTATACTATTTTTATCAATGTAGTTGATACAGTTTGGGTTCTAAAACATGGTGGACTGAGCTAATTAATATGCATTTCTCCCTTCTGCATACACACATGTAAGAATAGTGGATAAAACATAGCAACAACAAAGATATTAAGTATCTAGTTAAGTTCAAAAGATAGAAAAGGAATCTTTAAATGCCTAACTACAAGAAAAAAATTTATACCCATGGTGGTAAGTTCCTCGATAGTGTAGCAACCCCAAGGGGATAGCTAATGAGATACAAGCCCTAGGTCTACATTACAGCTTTGAGCTTGAGAGGCAAGTGCTAATACCAAGACCCTTGGGTATAGCTAAGGCCTGGAAGTTTCTGCCCTTTTAGTTTTCAGGAGTAGAAAAATCAGTTCATGGCCCAAAGGTGAAAAGAGGAAGTTTATTTGTTAGAGAGGCCACGTGGGGTAAATTAACATCCTCCCTTGGGAAATAGAAGCCACAGATCACACTCCAAAGTTGGATTTGGATTTGCAGCCTGAATTTAGACAACCCATATAAGTGTGGGAATTTCAAACAATGTATATTAATGTAAAAATGGACTTTGGACGGATGAAACTTCTGGGGTACTAGATGGAAGCAAACACAAAATTCCCAGTAACAACACTTTCCAACCCAGGGTTAAACCCTAATGAAGGTGAATTTTTAGTCAGAAACTAAAAATTATATGAGGAAATGATTCGTCACAAGGAAGAGTCAGGTGAGGCAACTAACTATCAGACACAGTTGAAGAGAGAATTGGTAAATTAAAACCTAGAGTTGAAGAGTATTGTATACAGAATATAGCAGAGAATCTGAGGAAAAAAATTGATATTTTTAAAAATGATAAAGAACATGACTTTTTATCATAAGAATTTCAAAAAATTGATAGGGAAAAAGTCAAGAATAGAATAAAATCTAATATTTTTGTAGATGTTTCAGAAAAACAATAGGAAAGAAGGGGAGAAGTAGTAATATATTAATTTCTGATAGTAAATACAGATGTTGAAGTATGACATAGCTTAAGCAAGACAAATGGAAAGAAATCTACACTTAAAATGTATTAAAATAAAACTGCAGAGCATCAGATGGTACATGCATGCAACCTGAAAGTCAAGTAAAATCAAAAATCATTT